AATTAACTGGACTTGAGATTGTTGTTTATTGTTATTAGTTAGTTTCAATATGTTCAATATGTTATATTCATTAGTTTCAATTTGGTTTCCAAATACATATTATATTGTAGACAATAAAAGTCATTTTATATAAATTTTATTATATGTATTTTCTTAGTTTTGTGTTTCTCAAACTCAAACTCATTATAAAAGAATCATGCACTATAATATAAAAATTAAATGAAAAGTTATAAAAAATTATTAAAGATTATATACAAATAATGAGTCGAGTAGATTTTTAATTACTATTTGAAAATATAAAGAATATTAAATGGTCAATAATATATATTCAATTTTGTATTATAAATAATGAAAATAAATAATTTTAAATAGGGAAGTGTATACTTTAATTAAAGAAGAAAATGTATATCTTCTGTATTTTCTGTCATCATTAACGCGGAAATTATAGCGGAAAATAGTCTTGATCATATTGCGTTGTTAGCTAAGTAATCTATCGATGTATTTGAGAACCTGGAACTTGCTCCTTTGAGCTCTTTTGAGATACCGGATATCGAAAGCGCCTCTCACCGCGCGAGTCCGAAGTGTCTCGGCTTTTTCTACTTGCCGCAAGTAAAGGGTGTTACATGGTATTACGAGCTGCTGATGCTAAAAAGATAATATCGACGATGGATGGTTTCCCTTTGATCTCCCGTTCAGCGATGCAATCGCGTAACTTATGATACACGCGATCTACGCGTTCAAAGAAGAACATGACATCGATGGCAGAGGACCAATAACGTAGTCGTTAATCGGACCGATTTACAGAGAGATTATTATTGGGAACTCAAAGCGAAGGATGACCGCGTTTTTCGTAAAAAAAATTTTTTTTAATTTTTTTAAGTCCCTAATTAAGGTACCGTACTCTGTTCCTTTAATTGACATGACTTGTGATTATTTTTGCGAAAAAAGCAAGTTACCTAAAAAATATTATATGGAAAGTACATGAGGATGCAGGTTTCAGAGTAAAAGATAAAAAGGTATGAAAAACAGAACGCAGACGGCGATCTGCTGTTCAACGTCAATCAAAGATTAATATCGTCTTTTTTTTTTTTAATCGGGTATCCCGATTTTCAATACTTTTATAATACATGAAGAAATAAAAAATTTCCAAAGAAATATACGTGTGTGCACAGTTGAGAGATAAAAATATTTTCCCCGTGTTTTATGAAAATAAAGAAGAATACGACGTTGTATGAGTATTTTTATTCTATAGTTATTTCGAATCGCGAATTTATTGCATTGAGACAAGAATGAAGACAAAAGGGTAATACCTCTATGCACCTCTTTTGTTCTAAAAAAATAAAAGAAACTTGGACGCTGCGCAAACTTTTAAATGAAATTGCTCACTACGATTTTGTTAGTTTTTCTTCTTTTATTTTCCGATTTGAATTTACGAGCGATTTCAAAATGTCCCAAAATTTATCATCGATACTCTGAAATTGATGATAAATTGAAAAATGAAAGAAAATTGCGTTACGATCGGCAAACCATATATTATATTTATAATTTTTATGAATTTAACAAGGCGATCAAATTATGTATACGAAATAAATTTCATGAAAAGAAACAACACCGTAACTAAAGTTACGTAATCCTAAAATTTCCCTTAAATAGAAATGATGCAAGGAAATATTAACTTTTTTGTGAATTTTGGAAAAAGATTGAAATGAATTTTTTTAACACATAGTAAAATTAAATAATTAAATAAGAAAACCATAAATTTAATAATTTAATAATAATACATAACAAATTGTTAAATTCATCAAAGCGTCAAATTAATTATTTTTATTATTATATAACTAATTATTTACGGTTCAATGATTAATATGAACAAATTCAATCAATTATTAATTTATATCAATACGGACGTCAGATAACGAATCCTACAAGAATCCTAATTACGCCCGAAAAATAGCTACGACCAAAGCGCGAAGCCTTCATCCTCAAGAAGGAGAAAAGAAGCCGCCCTTACGTGACACATCACAGGTGGTGAAGAATGATCTCACGGGCGTTAACGATATCTCAATATCGTATTCTGCAACAGGTATTACGCTGCTCCCTCGACCCTCCGAGTGTAGTCCATCTTAGCGAGGGTGCCCATGAAAAATTGGCTGGCATTATATATGTCAGTGTTCATTGTCAGTGCGTGTCACGGGAAATCCGTTGAATACGTCCCATAGACATATGAATTGTATCTGGGAGAAATCCGTTTCTCCACAAGCACTAATTGTGAAAAACACTCTCTCGCCGATTTCAATTTTCCTCGCGACACCTGTACACGAAACGAACGATTAATCAATTAATCCGAATATCAGGCCGCTCTCTTAGCAAACGACGTCGAGTCTGATCGACGGATTTGCGCATCGATATTTCTCCTTTTTCTTGTTCTTTCAAGAAATTTAGTTTTTTTTTTTTAGTTGCTGTTTTAAAAGATCAACCGCACGCGGCTTGTTTTATGCGTTTACTTCATTCTCTCTTTGGTCTCTTTGGTCTCCAACTTTCGCATGCGTCACGTATCATTTGGACAGATGGGACAGGGTGGAAGGGTGGAAGGTAGGGTGAGAACCAACTGGGAGAGAAATGCGAGTAAGAACACACCCGCTCGTACGACGCGCGGAACGCGACTGAAGGCGCGTTCGAGCGCCGGTCTGAGAGAAGGAATCACCGGTCCGGCGCGGCGTCGCGCGGCTCGCACGCGCCCACGCTCGCGCACGTGTCACGGGAGACTTGCGAATTTTCCCTCCCTGGATAATAAAACAATATACATCTCCGTAATGTATTAATAGCGCGATACGACGCTAACTTTTGTAACATTACATAGTTTGTCTAGAGAAAGTCCATGTGTGAGAGAGAGAGAGAGAGAGAGAGAGAGAGAGAGAGAGAGAGAGAGAGAGAGAGAGAGAGAGAGAGAGA